TTTGTATGATGTTATAAAAACGGGTTCAAGCCCAAGAAAAGTATTTGAACTAGTTTGTGGTTTTGAAGGGTACCTTAGGGTTCAGGGATGGGTTGTGGAAGAAGCAGATACAGGGTGGGTGGGGGGAGCAAAGTGCAGGACTGAGGGACACCCAACTCCACCCCAATCCCTGCTTCCATCAGCCACTCTGCTTTTGTCTCTATTTTCTTATTTTCAGGTGAGGTGTAATTTTTTTTTTTTTTTTTTTGCGACAAAGTCTCGCTCTGTCTCCCAGGCTGGAGTGCAGTGGTGTGATCACAGCTCATTGCAACCGCAACCTCCTGGCCTCAAGCCATCCTCCTGCCTCAGCCTCCTCAAAGCTCTGAGGTTACAGATGTAAGCCACTGAGCCAGACGGAGGCAGAATTTGAACAAAGGGTTATGAGGAGATGCCAGATGATCTCTAAGGTCCCTTCTGCCCAGTAGAGACAGGGAACTTTTGTTTTCAAATCTTTGACCTGAACATAGACCTTCAAGCTAAAAGAGTTGAATAATAACTGAAAGACACAAGATAGGATAAAGAAAACACGTAGGCTGGGCATGGTGGCTCACTCTTGTAACTCCAGCACTTTGGGAGGCTGAGGCAGGCAGATTGCTTGAGTTCTGGAGTTTAAAACTAGCCTGGGCATAATGGCAAAACCCCGTGTCTACAAACAATGCAAAAATTAGCAAGGTGTGGTGGCACGTGCCTGTACCCCCACCTATTGGCCAGGCGTGGTGGCACATGCCTGTAGCCCCAGCTACTCAGGAAGCCTAGGTAGGAGAATCACTGAGCCTGGGAAGTAGAGGCTGCACCACTACATTCCATCCTGGGCAAGAGTAGAAGTCTATCTCAAAACAAAACCAAAACCAAAAAACCGTGTTAAAAAAAGGATCCCAAAATAAATTTTTTTTTAAAAAAGTAAAAAGCACCAAAAATTAATCTTTTCTTCTTGCTAAGAAGTTAAACATTTTCTATTAAATATAATGAAAAGGTATATTCAAAAAAGTTAAATCTCTTCCAACACTGTGATACATAGTAAAAGCCAAACAAACTAGCAGATAAACCTCAGTTTGAGTGTCCTGCAGAGACAGGGCTTGGAGATCTACCCAAGAGCGGGAGAACTAGTTCTCTCCACAAGGGGCTCCTTTTCAAAACAAGGGGTGCCTCTGAACACCCACCTGAATTAGGACGTGGCAAACATGACATGCAGGCTTTTGTTCTGGGTCTCTGATTGCTGTGTATACAGGACCTTCCCCTCTTGGTGTCTTTGAGAGTTTCCATTCATTTGCATATACATAGGGACATTAAACAACAGCAGCCCTATGAAAGTATGGAGAGCATGTTTCTGTTGTCACTTCTTTCTGGCCATCAAGCTCCTTTTCTTTGCTTAAATTAATAGCACAGCTTCTGTTGTTCCAAACTAATAATGGCATCTGTGAAACCTATTTGCTATTTTAGAAAATGACTAGTAGAACAATATTTCATAATATCACATGATAAAACAATTTAAAATTCACAGGTAATTAAAAACAATTCACTGTCCTACAATGACAACTAAGGTCACTTGTAAAAAAAACTCTCATTTATCAGACTACATTTACATGAAAGAAGAAAACCTTTTCATGTTCCATGAGGGAAGAAGATAGAATGAAGTCTGACATAGTGCAAACGTGATTAAAGTAAAATTTTCAAAAAAACAAGTTGCATTAGGAATTAGATTTCTGTCTCTTTAAGGTTAATTCTCTACTCATGTTTTCCTGAACACAAATAAATGCTACACTAGAAAAAACAGAATATAGATAGTATTAATTAGGAGGTTCTTTAAAACAATTCAAAATTCTGCAGCACAATAGGAAACCTAATTTTCATACTCTGATGTGAATCAGGTAAGTAGAGCTGATTCTTTTCCTTGTTCCAATAAGGATTTGCCTTCTTTTTATTTATTTATTTGCTTTTTTATAAGACAGAGTCTTGCTCTGTCACCCAGGCTGGAGTGCAGTGGCACGATCTAGGCTCACTGCAACCTCCACCTCCCAGGTTCAAACGGTTCTTAGGTCTCAGCCTCCTTCCTGAGTAGCTGGGATCATGGACGTACACCACCATACTTGGCAAAGTTTTGTATTTTTAGTAGAGATGGAGTTTCACCATGGTGGCCAGGCTGGTCTCGAACTCCTGACCTCAAGTAATCTGCCTGCCTTGGCCTCCTAAAGTGCTGGGATTACAGGCATGAGCCACTGTGCCTGGCTTGCCTTCTTTTGAGATAAATTGGCTGTCTCCTATCTATGGAAGTCTAGAAACTCTTGAACAGAGTATGAATTATGTGTCTACACTGGCCTGGAAATTTCTACCCTTGACATTGTTGGTTTTGTTGCCCATTTGAGGGGCCAGAAGAGAGGCTGCAGGCAGGATGGAGTGGCGCAGTTTCCTCTACAGGCCTACAATCAGAAACAGGCTGGCACAAGGGAACAATCCCAGGGCCAGGATCAGCGTGAGGCCAGTGAGGCTGAGTCAAGGGGCAAGTGCAGGGGATCCTGTCTTTACTTAAGATTTTGATGTTTTGTTCTCCACATTTCTTTTCTGCATTAATTTTATTTAAAAATGTTGCCTCCCTGACTTTCTTGGCACCTACTTACATTTTGTGCCCAGGGTGAATGCCTCACCAGCCTCACCCTTGTCCTGGCCCTGCTCAACCAGAACCTGGACTGTGGGCTCGGGTAGACCTGTGAGGCCACAGCAGAGTGCGGCCTCTCCCTTGTATTCTCTTCAGCTCAGATGGGTCAGGAAAGTCACTCACAAGAACTAAGTTCTTCCTGCTTGCAAACATGAAAACAAAGGATAAAGAAAAGTGTCCTCGTCTAACAGGAAACCAATGGGAGTGTTAGGGAACAGCAGTTGTCATAGAACTGACCCCCGGGAGTTTTAGTTGATCTCTATTCCAGGGCTTGTATCTTTCTGGACAGGAACCATAATGAGCAAAAGAACGAATGCCGACATGTTGAATTTAGCAGAAGAATCAAGGAGTCGGAATAATACATTAATTCAAAAAGTAGGAAGACTCCCTCCAAATCATGCTAAGTTGAATAAAAATGAGAGACGAGATGCACATACAAATGTAACATAAAGCTCTTTTATGTAATGAAACGGGCAGGATTACATGTGGTACACCTAAACTAACCGATGGTAACTTTGCATTCTTGAAGAGAACAAAATAATACTTTCAATCTTATCGCTAAAATTCTCACGGGACAGGTTGGTATGTGTCTCCTTGTATTTTTAAAAAATGCAAGCTTACTCAGGCAGAGGCAGACGCTGCCCGGCCACAAAGAACACTGGGCCCCTGTTTTCTCTCCATTTGTGTTTGAAGTGAGTAGAATGGAGAAAGGGATGCTTTCAGAAATGTTATCTTACTTCATGCCCCCATAGCCTATAGCTCAGTAAGAACAGTCTCACGGGGAGGGGAGAGAGGATTAGGAGCCCGGGAAAACAGCTTTCCTTCTGGCAGTTGCTAGAACCATGAAGCCCCCAGGATTCACACTGTTTTCTCTGGAGGGATATGGCAAGACTCGATATAATGTTATTACGCTGTCTCATTTAGCAAGTAGTATCATCATCCAATTGTTTGGAAAGGTGAAATACAGGAGCTTCCGATCTTTGCCCTACCATAGAAGGAACATTTGGACACCACAGTACTTTTTTTCTTTTTCTTTTTTTTTTTTTTTTTTTTTTTTTTTTTTGAAAACGGAAGCTATAGCTAGAGGCCAAAAAAGCTCTCAAAAGGGAAGATGAAGAAAGGAATATCGATCTGGTTAAAAAGCCCTCAAAATTATCTAACGAATGCTGACATCAGAAAGGTATTGGTCTTTAGGTAATAACATGGATATGTATCTACTTTATGCATTTCTATGCAGATTTAGTAGAAAAATACCTAAATATATATTTAATTCCATAGAATCCCAATGCATTTTGAGGATTTAAACAGATAAGCCAACCTCAAAGGGACTGATTCTTGCAACTAAAACACAGACACCTCTGGGGTGAAATGTGGCAACAGTTTGACAGGCATAGCAGTAGCTTAGGCCAGAAAGGATTTATCCAATTAAAATTATGGGATGAATTTTGGCTGGCAGAATGTAATTACCAGCCTTGGAATGGATCCAGGATCCTGAGGTTAACACCCCTCCTCTTGCCAACAACCGTCCTACCTGCCAACACTCCGAGATGGAGAAGGCTGGATCTGACATAATCACACATAATACTGTTGTGACATCTAAGTACAATGATGATGATGTGAGAAGCATCGTGAACCTGATTTTTTTTAACACTCATTATGTTACTTATTTTTATGCCACATTAGGCTAGAAACCAAATGTCCACATAAATGTTAATTTCCTCAAATCTGTGTTTAAAAATTATAATTAGAAAATAAAAAATAGATTTAAAAATTAATTTATTCCGTCAAAGTAGTTATTTAGTGATTATTTCACTACAGGAACAAAATTGGATCAAAATGGTGACATTTAATCCTTGCTACACGAAAAAAAAAAAAAAAAAAAAAAAAGCAGGTCCTGATTTTTTGGAAGCGAAATGTGTTCTCAAGGTTGACTGGCCTAGAAAAAAAGGAAACGCAGAAGCCTTGTTCATATTCGTTGTAACTTTGACTAAATGGGTATGTGCAAAGACTGCTTTTGTCCCGGGGTGGGTCCCGTTCACAGTCACGGGGGGCACTAATTCTCCAGGAGGGGATTTACCAGAAGGGTTTGTGTGAGTGCCTGTGTCCCTTCCAAAGAAACCAGAGAAGAGCCCCCTGCTGGTGCATGATCAATAGGCAAAGACCTGATCATTAGATTCCAATGCCCTTTTAAAGTCATTAATGGACCAGAGAATTGAGGAGGGTTTGGCGACACAGAAGAGCAGATGAAAAGGCAACACTGAGAAGAACCTGAGCGTTCAGGGACGCCAGACACGTGGTGCCGGGTCAGGCAGGGAGAGGCAGAGCCAACCCGGGTGGTGCGCGGTTGGGTGGGGCGCGCCCGGGGCGCCCGGGAGGCGGAGCCGGCGGCGGAGGCTGCGCGCGGGACACGCGCGGCGACTTGGGCTAGACGGCTGCGCTGCCCCACCGCCCTTCGGCGCGCGCTAGTCCGCAGCGCTTCCAAACCGCGGAGCGGCAGGCGTGGCCGCCGATTCCAGAGCCTGGCAGGGGCGCGCAGCCGCCGCCCCTCACTCCCAGGCGCAACAACCTCGCGCCCTCGCCGCCGCTGCGTCTCGCAAGACCTGTGGGGAGGCCGGGAGTCCCTTTGGTTTCCCCTTCAGCCCACGTGGCCCTGGGACACCACCCAGGAACCCAGGCGGGACTGCATTGGGAGTCCCAGCAGCGGGGTTCTGGTCCCTCCTTGCGGCCTCCCAGCGCCGGTGGGGTGCGTGCGCCGGGGGCAGGTGAACTGCTGTACTTTGCACTTGCTGGGCTAGGTCCTCCGTGGGTGGGGAGGAGCGGGGGCGGGGAGCGGCCGGGTGTTTGATCTATCACCGGAGGTCATCCAATGGTAATTGAAGGGATGGGCTGGGAGGACTAGGATGTCCCTGTACCACCAAACACAGAGTGTTTTGGGGGCTTGCGTTTGGGTCACTTTCTGGGTCTGGTACTGCCGCTCATGTCAGTTTCGCTGTGAAGGAGAATTTTTCTAACACTATCTTTGCGTGATTTAGCTGTCCACAGGGAATCAAAATGTGGAATGAGAGGATGAAACTAATCCTTTCTTTTGCACTGTTAGGGGTTGCCATAAACACCATTTGTTAAAAAGCATAATTATGTTGGGAAAGTGCCTGATGAGACAATTAAGCTGCATAAACACACTGAAAACAAATGAAAACCAGAAGACGCCCACACCCCTTGTGTAAAGCAATTTTTTGTTTACATAGAAACGAGAGGTCTGGGTTGCTTTATTACAACAATGTTATTAATACCTAGAAAAACCTAATGATAGAATTTTTATGAATTTTCAGTGATGAGATGATGGTCATATTATGAAAACCTGCCTGAAAACCTGAACTAGCTAGGAAGCCTGAACTCTATCTAGGTTAAGATGATTAGGCCAATGAACGATCCTAGTGAATAAGCCAGCAGATTTATTCCGGGAGAGCACCATTATTTGCACCAGGGCACTTTAGCTTAAACTCTAAAGTTTATAAAGTGTGTCTCAGAGTTAGATCACTGTGGTTAGTATCCTTCACACAGGGAACATTGCTTGTCAGAAAACGACCCTCATCAAATATTTGTTGAATGAATTCATGAGGGCCTCATTCATTTTAAGTTATGATATTTAAAAGAGACCAATGTTATATGGTCCTGAACTTGAAGAAGGGAATTATTTTCTTATTATTTTAAGATGTTTTAATTCCTTTTAGATCATGAATATCAATTGAATTATGGAAAAATCAGTCAAAAATACCATTCTAGTGTATTGAAAAGAATCAAAGCGACCTCTAAAACCTGTATAATCTATTTTCAACAAAAATCACATTTCTGGTATTATTGAGTAATATATATCACAATATGTGTTATCTTTCAAGTTACAGAATTCTGTAAAAAGATTTTAAACTGATTTAGAAACTTTGTTGAAACAAGGAAGAATAATTGTCAAGTAAAGCACCCAAATGGCTTCCTTATTTGTTTGTATAATGTCCATGGCTGGCCTGTAGATACTTTTTTTTTTTTTTTTTTTTTTTTTTTTTTGCCACAAGAATTGCTTTTATAAGAATTCACATATTAAAGAATCTTCCTTGTTTCATTTTTCTGCATTTTCCCAGTGAGTCTAGTTTAACAACAAAAAAAGTCATACCTATTTATAAAATAGTATAGATCTTGAAAACAGGGATAAGGCTAAGGAAGACCATGCTTGAAATGGGATAACATACTTTAATGAAAAATTTTCACTTACATGATGGAATTCAGGCTGAGGACTCTGCCAGGTATTTTCCAATGTCGTTACAATGTTCATATGTTCATATGTACATGACCATGTACACATGGTTTCTTATTTGAGTCAATCTGGGGATTTTATGCTTTAGAATTTTTCTAGGAATGAAATAGTAAAGTGCTTATATGATGACTGCCTAGTTTCTAAAAAGTTATGATTTTTTATAGTTAAAACATGAAACTATGAATCAACTCTAGAGACACGTAATTATTTTTCTCTTATTCCAGAAGAATCATGTCTTCCTCCAGAGTGGGGCTTTGTTTGCCTGCTTGTTTACTAAACACTTCGGAAGCCAGAAGAAAATACACTGTTGAGAACACAGCAAAAGTAGCTCTTCTTGACAAAAATGGTAGGAAAACCAGACAGCTGAAGCTGAATGTTGTAGTGTTTTACTGTGCACACCGTATCTACAGAACACTTTTCTTTCTTTCTTCCTGAATTTTCCTCCTTGTTCTCGAGCTGTTACAGCTCTGCACAACTCCAGGATACAAGATAGCTCAGCTACTCAGATGTGCACATATGCTCTTTTCCAAATGTCTGCATACGTTCTGCAGTGCAGCTCTTCACATTTGTATGAGTCTCTGAGATACGCGTTGTTCAGGCTATTGACAGGCTCCTGGGGAGGATGTATTTACATAAAAGTATAATGTTTCCCTCATGGGTTGTTTATTTGATCATTAATAGAAAGAGCATAATTGTACCTTATGCTTTTTATTGAGCAGGTTAAATGAAAAATAAACTAGCCAAATACCAACTACTTTTCAAAGCATTCCTGCCACCAAAGCCTATGCAATCATTATAGTATTATTCTTTCTACTCTCTTTTCTCTGTATAAAGACTGTTAGGCAAGTGCATTTAAATAACGTGCATAGATCACTCAGCAATTTGATGACAGAAGACTGGAACTCCTTATTCCCTTGGCCAGTATTACTATGAAAGATACTACTCTTTTTCATCCTTCTTCTTTTTTTTTTTTTTTTTTTTTTGACACGGAGTTTCGCCCTTGTTACCCGGGCTGGAGTGCAATGGCACGATCTCGGCTCACCGCAACCTCTGCCTCCTGGGTTCAGGCAATTCTCCTGCCTCAGCCTCCTGAGTAGCTGGGATTACAGGCACGTGCCACCATGCCCAGCTAATTTTTTGCACTTTTAGTAGAGATGGGGTTTCACCATGTTGACCAGGATGGTCTCGATCTCTCGACCTCGTGATCCACCCGCCTCGGCCTCCCAGAGTGCTGGGATTACAGGCTTGAGCCACCGCGCCTGGCTATCCTTAAAATATTCCTGTGATGACACATGGTTAGATATTATTTGTCTTTACTTTTACACACACACCAACACACACAACAGTGTATACAGTCATTTAAATAGAATGCTTGTTATTATATCAGTAACTTTTTGGCAACAGGTGAAACCAGCCCTAAAGCATTTCAGACATTAAATTTTAATTTCCGATTATCATTTCTAATGTGGTTACTGCTTTTCATAAGAAAGACGTGTTTTCCCCCCAATCCATCTCAACTATGAGCACATTTAAGTTACTGTCTTGCAACTTTGCTGGAACTAGAAATGTCTATGAAAATTCCTGATAATTGCTGATAAGAAAACTCCTTTGGAGTTGGTATGCAGCTGTGATTTTGCATGCTTTTTGTGGAAAGAGCCAGCTTGGGCTCTTCATTGTCAAACAGTACATCTAATGGGATTGGGTTGCCTGTCTCTATGATTAAGTGAATGTGCAGAGACATTTGTAGAAGATACACACTGATGGATGCCTGGGTCTCAACTCACAGTTTTTATCAGCTTATTAGTGGCAGCAGCTCAAATGGAATTATAGCTATTATACTCCATTACAAATACCAAACAATTTACTTCTGCTGAGATTCACACTGACAGCTCCTCTTGCCAGCAGTAATTTTTTTTTCTATATGCATGCTTAAGAAATTGCAGGAGAGAGTGTTTTATTCTTTCAGCATTTGATTCAATTGAGTCATATGAAACTGAGAATAAAAGCTTTTCAGGAGATTTAGGATGAAAAAAATTAAATCATATCTCTTTTCTTCTAGGTGTTAGAGTATGTTGAAAAACTACATAAAATAGGAGGTTGCGTGATCTTATTCTTACTTCATCTTTTATGGTTTTCAAAATGCAAGGAAGGTAGCACTAGTTAAGAAAATGAACCTGTTTTTTTTTTAACAAATATTTTTAAAGTATTTATTTTTAAGTGAGTGGAATAAAGCTATATAAACTGTGTAGTTTTTCTAATTAAGGAATTTGAGCACATTTAAATGGCCTAGAAAGGTCTTAGGTAAAGGAATCTGAGTTATAAATTTTAGACCTACACCAGGCCAGGGCTCTATAGATGCTTGTTTGGCCATGAGTGAGTGACATATGTTTATCTTCTCACATTATTAAAATTAATAGTGCAGGGCCTTTGTAAGCTCTGTAGTTCCTGGGTGTAACTTGTTTTTCCTTTCCTCTGAAAAGATTAATTGTTGAGCTGCCAGGGGACAGGGAAACAAGGTATAATAGCATAACCAAAGGTTTAATTAGTGCCTGAAAACTTTTGTCCTTCACTTTGAATTTGCTTTTGTAGGCATAAGGGGGACTTTTAAGGAGCCTGGACCGTGCTTGTAAACTTCAAAAATAACTCTGGGGTTATGTATGGCTGCCATACAAGGGAATGGCAGCTTTCTCCTCCAGGTTACACATATTCAAGAGAGTCACAAACCACCAAAAGCTGGAAGTTGTTAACATCTGAAGGCTGTTGGTGGCCTCTGAAAAGGAGATGGTAGACTCTAAACAGTTTCTAATGGACAGGTGCATTCGTCTCAAAAACCTCTGCTCTGGGCACTAATTGGTCTATTTTGGTTTTACCAGATGTCAGATCTTGACCCAAACAGTTTAGTTTCTGGATTTTGGAAGGAAATATTGACAAGGCCTAGGTGATGAGATTGATAAGGAACAGGATTTAGAGCAATATGATTTGGCCACTGAAGAAAGGGGCTACCGTCTTAGACTGAGTTAAGGGAATTCTGGCAAATTCAGTAGTAAGTCCAAGAGAAGATCTCTTGTAGACATCAAAAGCTTGTGTCTGAGGTGAGCCATCTGGTTATACAATAAGACGCTGTAAGAGAAGTGGACATTGCTACTCATGAATTTCATGTTTATTCAATGTCACTTCCAAAAGTCACATCCCAGAATTTTTCCACTAAGCTAAATTTAATTATATCAGAAGAAATAAAGTGTTAAGGTTTTATCACAGAAAAAACATTCTTACACTTCTATCTTGTTTCCTTTACAGGGAAGAAACATCCTTTAAGTGTCAGTGCTCAATATATTTTCTGATCAAGACTACAATAGATCAGTCATTACAATAGCAGCTTCTGTTGATAAGTTGGGTAAGATTTCAGTTTCTTTCTTTACATATATGTCTTTTTTTTCGTGAAGGGTAGGCTTCAGATAGACCTGAACATTATCTGCAATCATTGATTTCCTGTGTAAATCTGAATACTCCCCTTTATTAATAAAGAGTCTACCACAAAACTACGTTTAATCATTTTCTGAACATGTACATCTCAAACATTCTCCATTTCCTCTTTGTTACGGTAAACCTTGGAGTCCAAGATTTAATAACTTTTTTTTTTTTTTTTTGGCTAAAGATGATCACATATGCTTTGTAGTTAAGAAAAGACATCTTCAGGTTTTAGCCTGGAAGTAATAATGTTGAAGTCAGCTTTCATTTCACTGCGAAGCTGGCATGGAATGAAACTTGCTAAGCAGTGCATTCTGGGTTGGGAGTTTGAGATCTGGGGTTGGGCAGTGAATGGACATGAAATGGACTTCATGTCTCATAGGGACATTGTAAGGGTTTGTAGGACAACTTAAATTTGAAGAACCACAATTGTTTAAGTGAAAACCTATGTTATCTTAACATTGCTTAGTAAAGGTTTCAAATAATTTCAAATAAACTTGTTTTCCACTTGGTAGATTGTCCTCGTTCAAAAAGTATGTTTACTTGCATAAGAGAGGGAAGAGCTTACTGATAACTTACAGCAAGCAGAGGATAAATTATCTGTCTGGCTAATTTTTTGTGTTTTTTTTTCAGTAGAGATGGGGATTTGCCATATTGTCTAGGCTGGTCCGGAACTCCTGACCTCAAGTGATTTGCCTGCCTCGACCTCCCAAAGTACTGGGATTATAGGAGAGAGTGACCGCACCCAGCCTGGACAGTTTATCTTGAATTTTAATCTTAATACAGGGTTAAATATCTACTTTTCCCTCTATTGCTAAAATGGTCATATCGTATTACTAATGAAAACTCAGAGTAATAGCTAAAACTCTTAGGTATCTATAATATACATTTAGCTATAATAATTCAATGAAAAATATAATTAGTGGATAAGACCGAAACTAAAATAAGTATTTATGCTTTAAAATATTTATGTGGAAAAAAAAAATGATGTGGCCGGGCACAGTGGCTCACACCTATAGTCTCAGCGCTTTGGGAGGCCAAGGTGGGAGGATTCCTTGATGCCAGGAGTTTGAGACCAGCCTGGGTAATGTAGCAAGACCCAGCCTCTAAAAAGAAAACATAAAAAAATTATGTCTGTGTATCTAATATAATTATTCATAAGGCATTCTGAAAATAAGGAATTTGATTCAATTAGTTGAAGAAAGTTGAAAAAATTTAACCAGTTGTAAAAAAAATAATCAAATAGTATAAGGCCAACAAATCTTATGTAATTCTCCCACTTCGGGGAGGAAAAGCTGGAAGAAATATAAAGTTTTATGAGTGTTGGGAGGTGGGGTGAGGGGAAAGATTGGATTTTATATTTTTCATTATTTTGGACAAAAAAGAAATCTATACAGTTTACAAAAGAAAAGCATTTAGAGGAGCAACAAAATCATAGCTTTTTCTTTAGATGCAGCTGAAAGCTTAATGATTATTTTTCACATTTTTGCGTTTTTAGGCAGTTCCGTTCTGGCTGCCTGCCTAGAGGCCTTCCAGGCCATTGTTAGGGAATTTTAAGAAGGAATCCATCCTTGCCTGGGAGCAGTGGACCTGATTCCAGTTTACCTTCTCTCTGGTGTCACAGTGGAAGGGTGTAGAGTGGTGGCCAGAAGTAAGAGAAAGTTTGGGTTTATATGTTCTTCCTTACTGGAATCCACTGTTAAAAACCGAAATAGCTTGTGAAAATCTGATCACTCCTCAACCCCCTGGGAAAAATTGATTGTGAAAACTGTATCAACAATAAGCGTTGTTGGTTTGCTGTGGCCCACTCTGTGTTTGTGACTCCTCCACTTCCTACCCCATGACATTATGGAATACTAAATGCTGTGGGAGATGGCAAAAAAGAAAAATCAATAATTTTATCCCTTACAAATTCACAATAGATTATGAGGAAACAATAGTAGTTTCTAAAGAGTCCTTTAGACTCTTCAGGGCAGAATGATGGTATGTTTTGCCTATCCGTGTCGTATTTTCTTGAGCAAGGGTAATGATGAGGTTGAAAAACCACTTATATATTAACTTTTACCCCTTTTTCCTCTGACTTTTTTTTTTCTTTTTTTCCCTGTGTACAACTCTCTCTAAGATTTTCTTTAGAGCTGAACTGTCACTTGCATAATTTCAGCCCTGGGGGTAAGGTTAGTTTGGAAAATTTGAGCTCTATCACTTGAAGTGTTGTTGAATTAGGCAAATTGGGGGAAAAGAAAGACCTTTTGCCTGGACTGTCTAACTGTACCATGTTTAATTACAAGATACAGAGGCTTATAATCTTCAGGGAAAAATCTGCCTTAGGATAATTGCATTCTTTTCTGTATGACCTCAGAAATCCTTCTATGATGTTGCCTCATTTTTAATTAATGGTGAATTGTCTAACATTTGGGATGTAGATTTGGACTTTAGCTGAGCTACATCAAGCACCAGATAGGAAATGAGACTTGCTTCCAGAGGACTACCTCACTACTTAAGCTGCATTTTAATGTGACCTGACAGTTGAAAGGTTATTTCCAAGGGAATCTTGGCCCCAGACTCACTTGACATTATCCAAGAAAGAGTTAAAATTCAGCAAGGGGGGAAAATATGTTCCACACAAAAATGAAGAGTTTAGAATTGTCCAGACCAGAATAATGATTCTAATTGTCTTCAAAACAATTACGGACAATTACATTAAATCTCAAATTAGCTAGTACATGAAGTTCTTCATTACATCAGGACTGGTCCACCCCAGATGTTTGTCCTGCATAGGAGACAGTTGAGAATCAGTGAGTCTGGACACAGGATTTCTCCCTTCCCTTGCCCTTTGCTTCATTGGCAGCTACTGTACTTCATGATTTAAACATGGACATTTCTAATTAAATGAGAGCTCAGCTGCATTCTTGAACTAATTTATAACATTTGATTTGAAATGTAATAGCTTCAATCTTCATCTGATTAGAAACAGTCCTATACTGTACATGGTTACTATTTTGATGCTCCAACATGCAGTTTTTATTTTTACATTCCCTTTCTACACAGCTGTTCATCTAATATCATCCAAATTTTTTAAAGTTTTTTTCTTTCTTTTTTCTTTTTTTGTAACAGCATGCTCAGGCCTATTATGAGGCAGAAATATTCACATTGTAGGATCCCGCTGTTCTCAGAACAGTGAAAGGATGTTTTTTCCTAAAATAAGGCTTTCCCAGGGAAGCCAACTTTAAGATAATAATCAGCTAACTTTCTCTGGACAAAGGGCAATGAATAGCATCCCAGTGACATAAAAGAGTTGATACCAATATGTGTAATTTATGTATACTTTGTATGCAAAAATGCTGAATAATATATTTTAGAACTTTTTAATATCAGCTGTAAGTTTGCTTATAGCTTCAGGAAGAGGTTCTTAAGGTGGGTCCAAAGTTGGTATTCAGGGAATTTATAAATAACTGTCAACAATTTTTGCAAGTTTTTACGCATGCGCATTGTGTATATATACATAGAGACACACACTCACACATAATTTTGCATATCATTTTAGTTTGAGGACTTTTAGAATAAAGGGAACAGTGATGCAGAGGCCCAGAGGTGAGGGCAGCTTGAACTGGAGCACTTGCAAAGGATTTCAGTATGGCTGCAGGGAACTTAAAGGTGGGGTGAGATGGGAAAGGTGTTCCTGGGAATGTTATGAAATGAGGTTCAAGAGGTAATCAGAGGCCATTATTATGAAGTTTTTTTTTTTAAACAGCAAATTTTATTTTTCCATGAAGTTTTAATTTAAAAAAATTTTTAAATTGTTTGAGATGGAGTCTTGCCCTGTCACCCAGGCAGGAGTGCAGTAGTGCGATCTCAGCTAACTGCAACCTCCACCTCCCAGGCTCAAGTGATTCTCATGCCTCAGCCTCTCAAGTAACTGGGAGTACAGGTGTGCACTACTATAACCACCTAATTTTTTTTTTTATTAGAAATGGAGTTTCACCATGTTGGTCAAGCTGGTCTAAAACTTCTGACCTCAAGCAATCTGCCAGCCTCAGCCTCCCAAAGTGCTGGGATTACAGGCATAAACCACTGCACTTGGCTATATTATAAAGTTTTAGATGTCAGGTTGAAAGGTTCAAATCTTGTGCTAAAAGCAGTGGTAACCAGTATTTTAAGCAAGAAAATTCTATGGTAGGCTTTCCGTTTTAGAAAGATCGCTATGCCTGCATGATAGAGAATGGACAGGAAGCAGGCTGACCAGTTTGGAAGGATGATAGTGGCCTAAGAGAATAGAGAATGGACAGATTCCATGGGATCTTACAGGTGAGGGACAGAGCAGTGGTGTGATAGTGTCATAACTTAAAATGACAGAAGAAAGGGGATATGGAGGAAAAGAGCATGAATACATTTTTTTACATGCTGTCATTTGACAGTTATACAGTTCAGAGCTCAGGTAAGATGTAGATCTAATCCATATTTATTTAAAGCTTATAGGTTTTCCCCCAATATTTTGAATGTTGGTTTTCATTTGTTGTTGTTGTTTTTGTTTATTTGTTTTTTTTGGGACAGAGTCTTGTTATGTCACCCAGGCTGGAGTACACTGCATGGTCCCGGCTCACTGCAACTCTCACCTCTGGGGTTCAAGCGATTCTCCTGCCTCAAACTCCCCAGTGGCTGGAGTTACAGGTGTGAGTCACCATGCGCAGCTGGTTTTCATTTTCTGTAAAAACTTACAGTTGATGTATTAGGCTACATCTCATTTTTATCAGTATTAGGTCTCTACATTTTTTTTTTCTTTTGAGACAATGTCTTGCAGTGTTGCTCAGGCCGGAGTGCAGTGGCATGATCTTGGCTCACTGCAACCTCTGTCTCTCTGGTTCAAGCAATCCTCCCACCTTAGCCTCCCAAGTAGCTGTGACCACAGGTGCATGCTACCACACCTGG